GTATGTTGTATGTGCAAGCAAATGTATTGGTGCGGAAATGTGGTTCATGCTCGGATGGAGTAAAATTGACTCTATTTAGAGCATATTGGTCCTCTTTGTACACTGCCCATCTATGGTCTAATTATAAAAAAGGCAGTCTTCAGAAATTGACTGTGGCTTATAATGATGCCTTGAGACTATTACTGAAAAGGCCTAGATGGGTGAGTGCCAGTGAATTGTTTGTGTCATTTCGAGTTAGTACTTTATCAGTTGTTTTAAGAAACCTGATGTATAAATTTATCTGTCACTTGAATAGTTTTGAAAACCACATTGTTTTATTGTTGACTAACGCTGCATATAGTGACATGCGATATACATCAGTACTCTGGAGACACTGGTATACTTGCCTCTTAAAGGGATAGTAGTGGACTGGTTGTTGTTTTTTGGTGGTTTTTTATTTTTTTATTGTTTTTATTGTTGTTTTTTTATTTGTTGTTTTTTGTTCGGCGTTTGGACCTTGCGTCTGCAATAGTTTCTATCTCTCTATCTATCTATCTAAAATGCATGGCTCAAAGGTGTAGCTGTTGTTTTGTAATTATCATCTTGTAGTTTAGAAAGCACTGGTCTGGTAATTTTGGTTTTGCACATGAATGAATGAGCCACTGTTACCTAAACAACGTACATAACTAAGTGATAGAATGGGATTATCTAGTAATCACCAGGACCAAAGAGGGTTTGCTTTCTGTACAGAGGACTCTTTAAGGAATCTCAGGCTAAGCTTGTTGGGCTCTGGTCTGGGTTGACATCCTGCCTTGTACTTATGCTCAGGTTCCTTTGTAATGTAATGCTAATATTTCCATGTTAACATGCTTATGGATGAGGGGTATGTTTTTTTTTTCTTTTTTTAACTTGTTTCTAACAGCAATTTTAGCATTGCCCTCTGAATGAGTTACATGGAACAGTTTGAGTTTTAATATGATTATTTGAATATATCTAGTCATTCTCATCCGTTTTTAAAGACAGGTTTTAGTTGCCTAAAACTCCAGTCATCTTATTTCTGATTTACTGAAAACACACATTTTTCTCTAGTTTTAGTAAAATAATAATAATAATAATAAAAAAACACAGTTTGTTAGGAACATTTTAGTCTAGTTTTCATGGCGACCATGGTCACTGTGTCAGTTTAGCAAATTAACACTTTATATTCAAGGTTGATGGAATTAACTCACTTTACAAGTATTTCATCATGGGGTTAGGCTTAGTGACTACAAGTCATCTTGTTGGGTCATGAATGACAATCCAACCAGAATTTAGGGGGCACTTCCATAGGCAGCAACACGGCTGTGCTATGGGCTCCCCGGTGTGTTCTATAGTTGCCAACCTGTACATGGAAGAATTTGAGGACAAAGCCCTGTCTTCCTTCACTGGTACCGCTCCCAGCCACTGGTTCCGCTATGTGGATGACATATGGGTTAAAATCAGGACCCAGGAGGTAGAGGCTTTCACCAAGCATATCAACTCTGTGGATGGCAACATCAAGTTCACTTGTGAGAATGCCAGAGATGACTGTCTGGCCTTTCTGGATTGTGCAGTCCACTTGGAAGGGGACAGAAGCCTAAGGGTAGAAGTATATCGGAAACCTACACACACGGACCAATACCTGCTTTTTGACTCACACCATCCACTTCAACACAAACTGGGAGTCATCAGAACTTTAAATCACAGGGCAGAGGAAGTGCCCACAATTGTAGAAGGGGCCAAGAAGGAGAAATTACACTTCCAGAACTCCCTTAAGGCTTGTGGATACCCCAAGTGGACCTTCACCAAAGCAAGGAAGACGCCCAACACCAACAGGGAGAAACCAGAACCAAGAGTGGATAACACTGGCATCCCTTATGTGGCTGGTTTATCAGAAAAGTTAAAAAGGATCTTTCGCAACCACAATATCCCAGTTAAATTTAAACCAGGAACAGGAAACTAAGCAGCCGCTTCACTAATGCATGGCCCAACACAGGAGGGCCAACTCCAGTGGACCAGAGTCAGCAGTCTACCTCCACCTGACGGACAAAGGACATTCTTTTGAGGACAGTGAAGTCCAGATCCTCTCCAGAGAACGTCGCTAATTGGAGAGAGGAGTCAAGGAATCTATTTTTGTTCAAATAGAACACCCCTCACTAAATAGGGGTGGTGGACTAAGACACAACTTTTCATCCATCTACGACTCTGTTTTTCAGATCTCTGCCCAAACATGCCCACCAGGACAATAGGCGTCGGTTCACAGGTGAGGGTTCAAAGACGGGTAACGATGCTCACCGATACTGGACTATAATGACTCAGTCATTAGGGGACATTGTTGGGCATCAAAGGATTGAAACACCACTGATCGGGATAAATATCTCTGACTTAATGCCAGTCGGGCAGAACTGACGAAGCCTCTTGGATGAGAAGTGAAACATCTTCGACCTAAAAACCTAGTCCAGTTGATTTTTGAGTGAAGTTTTTTCAACTTTAGTTTAAGACATTATCCAGACAGATGAACCTTCTATAGTGAGCTTTTACAATGAGAAGAGGCCATTTTTATTTTTCTGTTTCTTCCATTTATGTTTTGTATTCTGTGCACCCAAATTATGAACATTGAATTAGACTATATATTTGATTCCATCTATCCAGTTAGAGAAATGTCCTGAGTGGGCTGGTTAAAGATGGAATATCATGTGTTCCACATGGGGAATGTGTTCTAATATTTGGAAGAATGCCAAACCACAAAATGAGTTTAATATAATGAAAAATATATGGTGATGAGATCCTTTTTTCGTCATAATAACAAAAGAAACTTGCAAATACCTATTAAATTCAGAAGCAAACTATATCTTTACAAGAGACTGTCATGTCAAAGTGTTGTTGGGTTGATTCCCAGTAACTCAGCCAGAAAAACGATTTTGAGCAAGGCCATCTTACGCGTATGTAAACACTGTCTGCAAAGAAGAATTTTCATTTACTATAATCTTCATAAAACATGCCTTTTTGGGCATTTAAACACCATGAAGTAAAAAATTATGTTATGAAATCATTAATCATCAGTGTTACACCAAAATGCAAGCTTGCTCAGGGGGCCAAAAATGAACAAAGATTGTCTAAGTCTTCCAAGAAAATAATCTAATCTGCAGCCAGGGACATATTCCAATTTGATGAGCAGTCTGTACTCTCTATATGTATTAAAGAAATAGAAGAAATGGAAATTGCCTTTGTTTGAGAGCAGTGAGCAAGCAGCTGAGAGACCTGCCACCCAGGGCACATAAACAAAAGGACTGCTTTATGATTCAATATCTCTCTTATAAAAAATGTAACTCACTCAATAGAGCATGAAGCTACACAGAAGCTGATGACCTGTTGCCTGAAATAGATGAGATATGGGAGCAGTAGTTTGGTGTTGATGTCTGGGATGAGGTGCTTATGTTTGCTTTGGTGCACACTAAGTGCTGCTGCTTGCTGCTGACCTGCAGCAGTTTCACAGTTCTTGATTGTTACGGAGACCACATGTTTTCTATAAACATTTCCCGATGAAGAGGATCACCCAGTATGACGTCTTCTGCAGCTGGATGAGGAGCTGACTGCAAAACATTAAGACGTGTCAATAACATTACAGAGAAACTTTCCAAATGTGACTATGTGCACGATGACACATAACCCAGTGTGTGATAATGTAGCAGTAACTGTATCACAGTTAATGTAACTGTATCAGTTACTGCTACATTACAACCTACTATAAATTTCACCTAATATATTTGTACACAGCACCATTTGTTGTAAAGGGCTGATGCTCCCCATCAAACCAGTGATTGTGTTGTTTTGTTTCATTACAGCACTTTCATGTTGTAGGGTGTACCATACTGAATATTGCTGCAGGGCTTTAGACCCATAGGTTTCAGGTTCCTTAAAGTTCAAATTTGGGACACAAGTGCACATGGATGTGACTAATACTCTCAACTTTGATGATGACAGTGAAGTAATCATGGTACTATGGCATAATCTGACAAAAATGTTGAAGCAGGCTGAACACAGAATTAGCTTTAGAAATTTAGAATGTTCCTCTCTGGCCAACAAAGACAGTGAACAGAAGGAAAGCCAGGCTGTCTTGTGAGAGGAAAACTATTCTTCTTCTAGCAATAAAAACACAATTTCAAGGGCAGTTAATGTCCGATATTAAAATAAATCTATGTTATAGGGAATGCTGAAATTGCACACAGTTACTTTAAAGGGCACATTTTTGCCATTTGGCCACAACTACAGTAATTTGCATTGCACCCCTAACTACAAGCTTTATCTCTCTTGCCACAAGAGTTTTAATTCACCTTAAGGCCAGTACTGCAAATACTGTGAGGAAAACTATTTGTCCATAGTTGAAAACTCCCACTTAACAGGTAAAGAATTGCCTGAGAAACCGTATTGTCAGGGCATTAATTACTACTTGAAATAATCAAAAGAAATGATGTTTGCAGTACAGTTTTCTCTATAAACATGCAATCTATGCTGCAGTATGTTGTATACCT